CTTTAAGTCCAAAGACTAATGAAACTTGGTAGGATGGATACAAAAAAATAACATCAAGATACATCTTACTCAAGTTTTAGAAACCCAGAGTTAATAAGAAATGGTGTACACCACATGTGGTGGTACACACCTATAATCCCAGCCCTCAGGAGGCTAAGGCAGTAGGCTGAAGCAAGTTTAAGACAAGAGTAGGCTATCTAACAATCCTTGTCTCAAAAACAAAACTGAAAAACAACAAAAAGAATGATAATATATTAGGGACAAAGATAAGAACATCTGTTGACATCAGAAATAATATAAGTCAGAAAATAATTCTAATTGTATTAGAAATAAATTACATGCTGGGCGTGGTGGCGCACGCCTTTAATCCCAGCACAGGATTAATCCCAGCACAGGCAGAGGCAGGCGGATCTCTGTGAGTTCAAGGCCAGCCTGGTCTCCATGGTGAGTTCCAGGACAGCTGGGGCTACAGGGAGACCCTGTCTCAAAAAGACCAAAAAAAAAAAGAACATAAAGGAAAAGGAAATAGTTGTTAGGGTCTAGAAGAACAGAACCAATAGAATTTATATATAATTACAAAAGGTTGTTATCTGATTGGTTTATCTTGATTAGAGGCTGTATAGTATCAACAATAACTGTCTGCAAATGGAGAGCTTGGAAAACCAGTAGTAACTCAATTCATAAAGTAGGGAGCCTCGGGAAACAAAAGGGACTTATGATGCACTCCTTGTCTGAGACTGAAGGTGTGGTATCTCCCTGGAAGGTCACTGGTGTGGCAATGGCCACAGCAAGAAGACTTCAGGACAAGAAATGGTAAATATATGAGGAAATGTAAATTTTTTTCCCTCAGTTTTTAATGTGCTTAAAATATGATTGTTGGGGCTGGAGAGGTAGCTTAGCGGGTGAGAGCACTGACTGCTTTTGCAGCAGACCTGGGTTCGATTCCCAGCACCCACGTGGCAACCAACAACCATCTGTAACTCCAGTTCCAGGGAATCTGATTCACTTCTTCTGACCTCCGTGGGCATTGAACAACATGGGTGCATTTACACACATGCATGCAATACATTCATACACATTTTAAAAAGTAACCTGAATCAAATTGTTTTAAATAATTTATTGAGAATTTCATACATGCATATAAGGTGTTTTGATCAAATCCATGCCCACTCCCTCCCCTCCAACTCCTCCCATATCTCCCCATCTTAAATCAAATATTTTAAAAAATGATTGTTTAGGCCGGGCGTGGTGGTGCATGCCTTTAATCCTTGCACTTGGGAGGCAGAGACAGGTAGATCTCTGTGAGTTCAAGTCCAGCCTGGTCTCCATAGAGAGTTCCAGGCCAGCTATGGCTACAGGGAGACCCTGTCTCAAAAAGACCTAAAAGAGAAGATTGTTTAAAGCAAAGAAAAGATGTTAATGCTTCATAGGACTTACAGCATTTATCAGTAAAATGTAGACAATTTACATGTGGGGGAAAAAGCCTAAAAATGGAAAGGAAAACAAAAAGGAAATTATTCTTGTAAAGTTCTTTCTATGCAAAAAGTGGAATAATACCGTTGGACGACGATAGACTGTTAAGTAAAAGATGTATATGATAAACGTAGCAACCACTAAAAAATATATCTAATAAGGTACTAATTTCAAAAAACGTAAGTGGCAGTATTAGATAAAGTAAGACTGTGTAGCTTAGACCTTGAATATACAAGGCCCTGGGTTTGATCTTCGTTACCATAAAACAAAACACCCTTCTGCCCATCAAAAAACAAAAACTAGACAAAATAGGCTTCAGAGCAAGACTTACGAGCCAGGCATAGTAGTACATGCCTGCCTATTTTCTCAGCTACTCCAGAGGCTGAGACAGGAGGATCGAGAGTTTGAGGTCAGCATGGGCTGTGTAATGAGACCCTGTCTCAAAATAGCCCAAAGTGTATATTTCTAGAAATAAAAATGACTTTTTCAAAATGATAAATGGTCACTTTGTGTTTATATATATATATAATAGAATTTCAAAATACTTGAACCAAAACCTGACAGAACTGGAAGGAGAACTAGAAAAATCATAATTACATAGTTGGGTATTTTAATCTACCCCTCTTAGTAATGAATAAAAATGGTGGAACTTTTCAGTATAAAGCTTTCTAAGATCAAATACTAAGCAATGTTGTATTAGAGGTCCTAGCTAGTAAGGCTAGATAGAAGAGAAATAAAGATATAGAGGTTCAAAAAGAAGATAGAAAAGTACCTTTGGACTGTGTGGTCATATTCATAGAAAATCCTAAGTGGCCTTCTCTCTTAAGGGCAAGTAGAATAAGTGAATATAGCAAAGTTGCAGAATATAGGGGCAATATGCAAAAATCAGTTAATTTAAAAAACAACAACAACAACAAAAAAAAACGAGGTCTCACTGTGTAGACCAGTCTGGGTTCAAACCCATGATCCTCCTGTCCCAGTCTCTGAAGTGCTGGATTTACAGGCATGATAATGTCCAATAAATTTTCATAGTTTTTGTATTTAGCAAGCAAACAAAATGAAACTTAAAGGATATATATCCTTTATATATATTATATATAATTCATAAACATCTCCATTTCCTTTAGGGTGGCATTCAAACAATAAACCAAATAGGGAAAAATTCAGGAAAGCATACAAGATGGAACACCAGAGCTGTAACATACTGCTGAAGAGAACTAAAAGTGACCTAAATAAACAGCTATACCATGTTCATGGATTAGAGCGGTCTTACCACTGCTCTTCTCCCTCCTCCTCCCCCTTTCCTTCATTCTTCTCTCTCTCACCTTCCTGGTTTTGTGGCGCTGGGACCAAACTTGAAGCTGCATAAATGCTAGGCTGGCATGCCTACCACTTAATTATTGTTCCCCTGGACTTCTTTTCTCTTGAATGTTCCAAGCATATTTCAACCTCAGACCTTTTACATTTGATTTTTCCTCTGCCTGGAACACTCCCCAGGTACTCAGCATGCTTTGATTCCCTTACCTCCTTGGGGATTTTATTCACAAGTCTCTAGGTAAGATATTTCCTAACATTTTTGTGTATAAAGTACATGTTCTCCTGTTCTCATTCACAATATTGATTACTGTTGTATCCTTTTGAGGTGATAAGAAGGCTTTGGAACTAGCTAGAAGTAGTTGGTCATAGAACATTGTGAATTTTTCACTTTGAAATGGTCAGTTTTACGTGTTTTTCCCCAAAATAAAAATACACTTCTGAAATTAAGGTTAAGTGATAAGAATCAGACATTGAATTGAATTCATTTTTGCCACCTGTTTATCATTTGTTACCGGATAAGCTCTTTCTAATCAGTTTTAGAAAATAAACATATCAGTACCCAGCATTTTTATGATTGTTTATGAAGAATGTAGCATACATAGTGATTATCTAGTAAATATGTTACTGCTATAGTTGCTGTTGGTTTTATTTTATTCCTTGTTTCTTTAATGGTAGAATTTGAACAAGGACTACACACTGAATATGTGCTCTACTACTGAGCTAAACTATACCTCCTGACTTATTTTCTCATTTATAAAATGGAAATAATAGTATGGAAAAGGATTGATTGCTCAGAGCATTTAATTAGTTAATCCATGGAAAAGGTTTCTTAGAACAGTGCTGGCCACATTGTGAAATGTTAACTAAGCTATTACTGTATGAAAGGATCCTTAGAAGGGACCTGTTAACATGGGCATACAGGTAAAAAAAATTAATGTTTATATTAGAAAATGACCTTTTTGGAAATTTATGCTATTAGTGACAGAGCTGAGAAAGAACATGATTTCTTAAATTCGAGACCAAGAGACAGCAAAAAATGATGGTATATGAGTCTTGATTTTTCTCAAAGACGCTTGATTTCCTCTTGATAAAAATAATAAATACTGATAATTTATAAATTGATAAACTTTGGCTATGTGGAATTTATTACATAGGTGTTGTGCCTATATTGATTATACCAAACTTTGCAAAACTATTCATTATAGTGGCTACAGGTTATAGTTAGTCTTGGTTCCCTCCTTCCCTTCCTCCCTTCCAGTTCTCACTATGTAGACCAGATTGGCCTCAAACTTGCAGCCATCCTCATGCCTTTGCCTCCCCAGGAATTCAACCGTGTGTCTCTGTTCTTACGTAGCAAGTACTTTTCTGACTAGACATTTCCCCTACTCCCATGTCTCACAAATTTTCGTTTTAGTTTGAGTTTTTCCCTTAATTTCTGTTATTTCTTCTTTAATCCATTAATTTATAAATACTGGCCTTTCTGTTACCGATTTACAGTTTAACTTCTGTCATCAGAACATATATTCTCTATGATTTCAGCACTCTTTGTATGTATTGAAACCTCTTTTTTTATGGCCCTTGTGTTTAATTGTGGTCCATCTTGAATGTGCACTTCAAAAAGGTATAGGGCTGGAGAGATGGCTCAGTGGTTAAGAACACTGGTTGTTCTTGCAGAAGACCTGGGTTCGAATCCCAGCACCTACGTGGCAGCTAACAGCTATCCGTAACTCCAGTTCCAGGGGATCCAACAGCCTCTTCTGTCCTCCGCAGGCATTGCATGACACGGGTGCACTTACCTACATGCAGGCAATACACACATACACATAAAATTTAAAAAAACTTAAAAGGTGTAAAAGTATATTCTGTTTGATGGAGATTCATATTTCAAATGAGGTGAAATTGGTTGATGATGGTGATATTCACATATTCTATATTAGTGATTTTCTGTCCACATTTTAAATATTAAGTATTTAAAATTACTTGTTTCCTATTTTGCAAAAGCTTTTTCTATGTTGCTATTCTTATTATCCTGGAACTTAGATTGCTCAGAATTTAAATTGTGGATGTGTTTGTTCTTGTGTGACATATTCTTAGTGAATATTCTCAACCATTCAGAGTCCAAAAGTGCAAGTATTTTGACTTTAGTAAATTTTATTATTTCCAAGCATAAAGCCATAATTACATTTTTTTCTTTTCTCCCCCTTTTACAGGAATAGACTTTAAGATCAAAACAGTTGAATTACAAGGAAAGAAGATCAAGCTACAGATATGGTAAGTAATACAAATTTACTTGTTTTATATATATCAGAATGCCAGGTTCCTTAAGGTTTACCAATGAACTTTTACCTTAATCACTTGTTAGGATTCTTTTAGATTATTCTTCCTAAAGTAAGCAATCAGTGACCTTTCAGTGAAATAAAAAAATTATTGCCATTGACGTTGGAGTCATGTACTGTTTGTGCCTAGACTAAAAATAACTGTCTTAGTAGCAGCCAGAGCGCACAGCTTCCGTGACTGCACACGTGGAACTGACAAGGAAATAAGGGACTTTAATTCCTAGGAATGTAGCACTCCTTTTATAATATGTCATTGGAAAAAATAATATTTATACTTTTGGCTTATAATTTCAGAAGCCTCATCGTACTAATTAGACTGATTAAAAAATTAATTTTAATATCAAAGAAAATGGAATTTTTAAAATAGACTTAGAGGTGTATATTATGGCAAAAAGGGGGAGATATAAACATGTACAATGTTTAATTGCTCTTCCATTATTTAATGCCAGTTTTGCTTACTGAATTGGACACACTGCATTGGATTAGACTTGGGCTTATGTGTTCAAGAAGTCCTAAAAATAATTTCACCAGTAGGCAACTTTGGCTATATTTAAACCTGAGCAAAGGGTTACCAGTTAGGCTAGAGGCGAGGGTCTTGTTCATTGGTTCTCATTGCCTTAATGATTGGTAGAGGCTGCCTGGCACAATGAGAACACATGTGCAGGACTCAGGAAAAGGATAATTGAATGTGCTCAAGTCAAGCCTGGCATATGTCTGCAATCCTAGTTCTTGGGAGGTGGAGATAATAAGATCAGGAGCTCAAGGCTACATAGTAAGTTCTAGGCAAGCTCTGGCTACAAGTGACCCTATTTCAAAAACCAAATCAAAACATACAAAGGAGCTAGATAATTTTGCAAGGTATAGTCATATTGAAAAATATAAATGTTTGAAGTATGCAAATTAAAATGGGACATAGAAAGCTTAAAAAATTAACTTGCGCTATCAGACAAAGAGAGCTGGAAGGAGGAAGGGAGGGGGAGAGAAGGAAGAGAAAGATAAATATATCAAAGAACATGAATGGTACTTGGTATTGTTGGTATTTCATAACTAATACAAAGCCCATTCTCTAGATACTATTGATGTTGGTTTAACTAAGTGTGTTCCTTTTTAGTGGAAAATTTAATCATAGATTTGACACCAAAATGTGTATATAATTTGCTAATTGTGTAATGAGAATGAATAGGAAGAGGTTGCATGTAATAGCTAGGAAGTGTTGGGGGTGGTATTCAAAGTGGGAAGATTGCTCTAAATGCTTATTACTTAGGACAAAATTGGAATGCAAGTTTCTAATGCCTTCTGTGCACTGGTGGTTTTAGGTACATCTTCAGCTACATTCTAAGTTGGAGACTGGAAGCTTTCTCTAAAGGAATAGAATTATTAATTTATTCTTTTTACCAGCTCAGGAAAAAAAAAACCTAACCTGTTTCAACTGTGATAAGAAAACCTTTGACACATTGGGTTTGTTTTGCGGTTTGCTTTTGTTTTATGGTGCTGGAGATCAAACCCAGGGTTTTGTATGACCTGGGTAAGAGCTCCACCACAGCTGCTCCCCAGCTCTACACCTGTTTGTTGATTTGGAGGGTTTTGTTTTTTTTTTTAAACGTGTATATGTGAGTATGTGCCATAATGCACATGTGGCAGTTAGAGGATAACTTGTGAGAGTTGGTTCCTTGTTCCTACCATGTGGGTCCCCGGAATTGAATTCAGGTCATCGGCTTTGTAGCAGGCACCTTTGCCCACTGCACTATCTTGCCAGTTTCTCATTCCTCTCCTCTCTAAATGGCCTAATTATATACCACAGAGTAGCTACAGCTGAAGCCCAGGTCCTCTGATTGTTGTGGGTTTTCGCAGAATGGTCAGTGAATTCCTGAGAGGGAGACTGATCATTCACTGGGGAGGAGGATCAGTGAAATAACTGTGGGTCTTGAAGATAGTGTCAGAAGTGACCTTGGCAAAGTTAACAGGGTGACATTGATGCCTCTGGTCCATAAAGCAGTCCTTGATACAAACTGTCAACAGAAATTTCTTGGACTCAGCCTAAGACAAGACCACTGCCTCTGGGTAGTAGGATCAGGAAATATTTGAATAAGCATGTAATAGTACTGAGATTTTCTTAGGAATTGAAAAGTCTAACCATATCCTTCACTTAACTAAATGGAAAAATAAAAAAATATATATACACACACACAAATATATGTTTTTTGGCCAAGGCCTCACTGTGTAACCCTGGCTGGCCTAGAACTTGCTATATAGACCAGACTGGCCTTGATTTCTACCTCCTGAATGTTGGAATTAAAGGCATGCACCACCATGCCTGGCCTATAAATGAAAATTTAAGGTCCAAGGAGGTTAGGTACCTTCAAGGCTGTCCAAGATAAACTTGTCTGACCCCAAATCTGTATTTTATGTTGTTCTTACATAATGCCTGGTACATAGAATACACAGCAAATACTTGAATCAATGGATGAATGGATAGATTATAGGTGGTGGGAATAGCTCGTGCAGACTCTGAAGTGGGCACACGCACTCAGTGAAGAGTGTGAGAGTTTGTGCTTAGCAAAATGTAGACTCTGGCTCCAATACTTTCATGCCCAGCAAACTTGGGCTCTGTGGTTAAGAAAAAAAAGTGCCCAGATTTATGTAGACTGAAGAAAAGTGTAAGAATTTGAAATTGATTCTCACCATTAGATTTCACACACACACACACACACACACGCCCCAATCCCGCAAAGTCTCACTCCATTGTTTTGACTGACCTGAACCTCACAGTGTAGCTGAGGCTGGCCTAGAGCTCTTGGCAGTCCTCCTGCCTCAGCCTCCCAAGTGCTGGGATTACAGGTATGGGGTCACTATGTTCAGTTTAGAAGTCTAACATAGCTTTTTAAAAATCTGACCATGTTTTCAGTTTATTTTATAATGGACTTTCTAAAATATAATTGACATGTCATACAATTTACCATGCAGGGCGTGGTGGTGCACTCCTGTAGTCCCAGTACTTAGGAGGCAGAGGCAGGTGGATCTCTGAGTTCAAGGCCAGCTCGGTCTACATAGTGAGTTCCAGTCCAGCTGAGGCTACAGGGAGACCCTGTTTCAAGAAAGACCAAAAAAAATTTTTTTTTACCTATTAAAGTATATAATTTAGTGGTTTTTAGTTTAGTCACAAGATTATATAACCTATACATTACAATTCTAGAGCACTTAACTATCTCCCGAAAGAAACCGGATTACCTTTCATACCCTGTCCTCTGCTTTCTGTTGCTGTGACAAAACACTGACCAAAAGCAACTTGGGGTGGAAATGGTTTATTTCATCTTAACAACTGACAGTTCATTATTGAGGGAAGCTGAGGCAGGAACTGAAGCAGAGACCATGAGGATATTAAGTTTTAACACTATTGTTGGGAAGAAAAAAAAACTTTTTTTTTTTTTTTGGTCTTGAGACAGGGTCTCCCTGTAGCCCCAGCTGTCCTGGAACTCACTATGTAGACCAGGCTGGCCTTGAACTCACAGAGATCCGCCTGTCTCTGCCTCCTGAGTGCTGGGATTAAAGGCGTGCGCCACCATGCCTGGCTTCAAGAATCACTTTTTAAGTGGGTGGTGGGGCATGTCTGTAACTCCAGAACTTTGAAGGCTGAGACAGGAGGATCATGAGTTTGAGGTCAGCCTAACCTACACGGCCAGTTCTCTGTAATCCTAGATGACATGGTCAGCTATGTGGAATTTACCTTAGTGATTGAGATCTAGAGAAAAAAGAGGGGTTGGAGAGATGGCTCAGCAGTTAAGAGCACTGGCTGCTCTTGCAGAGGACCTGGGTTCAATTCTGAGCACCCACATGGAGGCTATCGACTATCTATAACTCTTGTTCCAAGGGATCTGATGCCCTCTTTTGGTCTCTGCAGGCATTGTATGCATGTGGTACATTTAACATGCAGGCAAAACACTCATACACATAAAATAAAAATAAAGTTAAAAATTTTTAATAAAAAATAAAACAGAATGAAGGGGTTGGTGAGATGACTTAGCTGGTAAGAGTACTTGCCGTGTAAATCTGGCAGCATGATCCCAGGAACCTATAGTGGAAGTAGAGAACTGACTCCTGAAAATTGTCTTCTCACCTCCAAACAAATGTGTTCTATCTCTGCTTGTCTTTGTGTCTGTTTGTCTGTCTGTCTCTCTCGCTCTCTCTCTCTCTCTCTCTCACACACACACACATCAGTGATAATTATAAATAAAAATTTAAGGAAGAAAGCAGAATAAAGAATCCCAAAGCAAACTAAACTGGCCTATAGAATTTTTAGAATGCTACGAAAGCCATTTGGTGAAAGAAGGGTTACTTCCTCAATATTTTCAAGGAAAGGTGCTGGAGCTATTGGGTATCCCATAGCTCCAACCAACTCTAAACCTTTTCATTCAAATGGTGGCGCAAACCTTTAATCCCAACACTCGGGAGGCAGAGGTAGGTGTATCTCTGTGAGTTCGATGTCATCCTGGTCTACATAGCGAGTTCCAGGACAGCTGGAGCTACAGGGAGACCCTGCCTCAAAAGACCAGAAAAAAAAAAAAAAAGGAGGAAGGAAGGAGAAATTAATTCACTCTGGGGGCTGGGGCTTGGTGAGTAAAGGGCTTGCTATGCAAATATGAAAAACCTATGTTTGGATTCCCAGAACCCCCCTAAAGCTGGACATGGTAGTACATACATCTGTAATCCCAGCTCTCCTATGGCAAGATGAGAGACAAAAAAAGGAGAATCATTGCAAGCTCTTGGATCAGCTAACCTGGGGTACATAGTGGCAAACAAGAAATCTTGTCTCAAATAGGGTGGAAGGGAAGGACACTAGACACCAACCATCAAGTGTCCTTTGACCCGTACATGCACTGAGGAAAGGGGAAGGGAGGAAATTAATTAGTTCTTTGGGTTGAACACATTGATATAGTGTAGTCCCAGATACTTTGGAGGTCAAGGCAGGGAGGATCACTAGAGTCCAGAAATTTGGTTTGCCTGGATAATATTTGAGACACTGTCTTCAGCAACAAAATGTACTTTGTAACAAAATTAACTCAAAATGTATCATGTATCATCAGTTTAATTAAACTGTAAGACTTTTAGAGAAAAGTAGAAAAGTAGTCTTTGGGACTTAAGACTAGGTAAAGAGTTCTTAGACGGGACATTAAAAAACTTAATGTATTAAATATAAGTAACTAAACTGGGTACCAGCAAAATGAATCTACTCAAGTCCCAGTGAGGTAAGTGACTTGGAGAATGAATTTCATCAATGAAATAGCTGAGAGAGGCCTTTGCTTTCTGGGCTGCACAGCCTCCAGTGTCCTGGTGCCAGCACCTTCCCTGGCTAAGAGATAGAAACAACCTAAATGTTCCTCAACTGATGAGTGGATAATGAAAATGTGGTTCATTTATACAATGGAGTTTTACTCAGCAGTAAAGAAAAATGAAATCATGAAATTTGCAGGGTTTGTACTGAGTTCAATTATGTATAACTGTATTAATTCAACTGTGAACCTAAAAATTTACAGCCACTTTTGAAAGAGATGTATCCTTGCTCTGGAATGTGTTATTGAATATGTTAAAGTTGTAATGAAATACTTCTTCTAATCATGTGATTATTGAATTAAAAAAAAATAAATAGCTGAAAGAGGACTTCATATATAAAGAACTTTCATGGGACATCTTAAAAAACAGCCCAAAGGGGCTGGAGAGATGGCTCAGCAGTTAAGAGCACTGGTTGTTCTTGTAGAAGACCCAGGTTCGAATCCCAGCACCCACATGGCAGCTAACAACTGTCCTTAAGTCCAGTTCCAGGGGATCCAACGGCCTCTTCTGTCCTCCATGGGCATTGCACAACATGGGTGCACTTACCTACATGAAGGTAATACACACATACACAGAAAATAAAAAAAGTAAAATATTTTTTTAAAAAACACTCAAAAAAATCCAGTTAAAAAATGGACAAAAGTTATAAATGGACATTTCACCAGAGGGGATATTTGAATGGCACATTAATATGTGAAGTGTTCAGAAGCTATGAGGAGGTGCAAATTAAGAAGATGAGGCTGTATTAGATGTCTATATCTTTAGAGCAACTTTTATTATTATTTTATTTTATGTGTTTGAGTGTATTGCCTGCATGTAAGTGCACCCATGTCTTGCAATGCCTGCGGAGGACAGAAGAAGCCATCGGATCCCCTGGAACTGGAGTTCGGACAGTTGTTAGCTGCCGTGTGGGTGCCGGGATTCGAACCTGGGTCTTCTGCAAGAACAGTGTTCTTAACCGCTGACCCATCTCTCCAGCCCCCTAGAGCAACTTTTTTAAAATGAGGGGGTGGAAATGACATCAAATACTAATATGGATGCAGAGAAACTGGATCTTCACACATACATTGCTAGTAAAGTTGTGCATAGCAGTCACCCTGGAAAAGTTTGGTGTTTTCTTATAACTGAATACAAATTTATCATGAGTCAGAAAAATACCATTCCTGTGCATTTATCCCAGAGAAATGAAAGCATACCTACCTAGAAACATTATATTTGAATGTTACAGAACTGTATCTGTAATAGTTACAAATTGGAAACATCTCAAAATATTCTTCCATGGGTGAATGTTTGAGCTAATTGTGGTATGTCCATACTGTAGGCTATTACTCGGAAGTTACAACTGTCAGACTTGTGTAACATGTAGCAACATAGATAGCATCTCAGGGATATGATGCTAGGAAGAGGTGATAAAAGCCCGTTTCAAAAAGAAGCATACCATACAATTTCATTTATAAAGCATTCAGAGGATGACAAAATTATGCACAGGGAAAAATGGGTAATTGGCCAGAGTTAAGGGACCTGGGGTTGGCAAGAAGGGTGATGTGTAAGTTTTCTATCTTGTTTATGATGGTGATAAATTGGCAGAAACCTGTTTATACACACACAAAAGTATAAGGTAAAAATATGTCTGAATAAGTCTGTAGATTATACCATTGTCAGTTTCCTATTTTTGCTCTTCTACTACAGTTACATCAGATGTTATCTTTGGAGAAAACTGGATGGAGGTACTCAGGACTTTATACTGTTTTGTTAGTTCTTCTGTAGCTACAGTTATTTCAAAATAGAAGTTTAAAAATGTTATCGGGGAAGAGGAACAGAGCAGTGACTTAGAGGATACAGAGTTGAGAAAATAGTCTTTTAAAAAATTACTTTTAGGGCTGGAGAGATGACTCAGTGGTTAAGAGCACTGACTACTCTTGCAGAGAACCCAGATTCAAATCCCAGCACCCCCATGGCGACTAACAACTGTCCCTAACTCCAGTTCCAGGGGATCCCACACCCTCATACACATAAAATAAAAATAATCCAATAAAGTAGTTAGGATTAAAAAACAAGCTGGACATGGTGGCGCACGCCTTTAGTCCCAGCACTCAGGAGGTAGAGGCAGGTAGATCTCTGGCCAACCTGGTCTACATAGTGAGTTCAGGTCAGCTGGGACTACAGGGAGACCCTGACTCAAAAAGACAAAACAAAACAAAAGTAGAGAGGAGGATCAGAAGTTCAAAGCCTTCTTGGGCTACAGCATGAATTCAAGGCTGGTATGAGCAACTTAGCAAGAACCTGTTCTAAAACACAAAGTTTAAAAGGGATCAGGGTGGGGTGGACCTTGGGATTTAGCTCAGTGGCAGAATTATTCTAGAATGGGCAAGGCCCTGGATTCAGTGCACAGTGAGTGAGTGAATAAAGTTATCTTTACAGCTTTTTGTAAATGATCCTAAAAATTGTGTTGTAGTTTTTGAATAATCTAAAATTCTCATGCTTTTATGTTACATTATGAAGATCACTAAATTATCACTATTAAATCACTAAATCAGATGGAGTCAGGAGTTTTTATAGTGCAGCATTGCTGGTCGTTATATTAAATAATTTCAAGTTTTATGTGTTACTTGCTCCTGTTTTCCCTTCCCCCTCAGTGTGGGTCACTTATTCATCTCCTCCATCTAAGAAGTGTGTGCAGCTAGGCATGCTTGTGATGCCTGTACTTTGGAGACTGAGGCAGGAGATCATGAGGCCAGCTTATCTCAATAGAATTAGATGAGTTGTTTTTAACTGTGGTAAACAGTGAATTTTAATCTCTGTTTTTGCATACTACTCTGTTTTATCCTTTAATGCTAAAATGCTTAATACAATTATTGGCTGTTTATTTCAGGGACACAGCAGGCCAGGAGCGATTTCACACCATCACAACCTCCTACTACAGAGGAGCAATGGGTATCATGCTAGTATATGACATCACCAATGGTAAAAGTTTTGAAAACATCAGCAAGTGGCTTAGAAACATAGACGAGGTAAGACCTAGGAATTAAGTAAACTCTTCCTCCTTAAACTTTTTAAAAAATATATTTATTATTTTTATTTTATGTGTATGAGTGTATTGCCTGTATGTAGGGGAGTGCACCCATAGAAGAGGGCTTCGGATTTCCCTAGAACTGGAGTTAAGGATGGTTCATAGCCGCCATGTGGGTGCTGGGAATCAAACCCAGGTCCTTTGCAAGAGCGGTCAGTGCTCTTAACCGCTGAGCCACCTCTCCAGCCCCCTCCTTAAACTTTTAGATAGTTCACTTAAAACTCTATCCAAGGCAATTAATACCTAATAATTCTGTATAGTTATAAGGTAATAGGAACTTCCAAATGTTTCACTGAGAAATGAATTACTTCTCAGTAACTTTTTAAAGGTTTATTTATTTTTATTTTATGTATATGAATGTTGGCCTACATGTATGCCTACATGTGTGATTGTGCACAACATGCGTGCCTTGTCAGGAGGCCAGAAAAGGTATCAGATTCCCTGGAACTGGAGTTATATGCGGTTGGGAGTCACCATGTATCTCTGCAAGAGTAGCAAGTGCTCTTAACTACAGAATCATCTCTCTAGCCCTTCTCAGTAAACTTTTATTGAATGACTTAATGAAATGCTCAGTAGTAATTTTAAAAATTACCAAATTAAAGAAATGTCATGTTGTGCCAGGCATGGTGGTACACACCTTAATCCCAGCACTAAGGATCTCTGTGAGTTCAGGGCCAGCCTGGTCTACATAGCATGTTCCAGGCCAGCTGGGGCTACAGGGAGACCCTGTCCCCCCAAAAAAACAACAAAATGTCATGTTGTTTCTATATAAATATTAATATAGTTTTAAAAAAATACCCTAATGGAAATCGTGCCCATATGCATTTAAAGACACCAGTTTTTTGTAAACCAAAGTTGTGTATCAAAGTACATCTTTTCTTGTCTGTTTGTTTGAGACAAGGTCTCTTTGTAGCCCTAGATGGCCTGGCACTCATTATGTAGACTAGGTTGATCTCAATCTCATAGAAACCCACATGCCTCTGCCTCCTGCTTGCTGGGATTAAAGGCATGTGTCACCAGGCTGGCCTGATATTTGTCTTTTTCTTTGCTATAGCTTTGAGACTTCCTCTTGGAATTATTATTCATGTCATATTGCTACCTTTTAGCCTTTGAATTTCACTAAGACTCTTTTTTTAACCATTAGATAATTATTTTTATTTTATGTTTGAGTGTTATGCCTATATGTGTGTAAGTGCACCCGTGTTGCACATTAACTTTGGAGGACAGAAGAGGGCGTCAGATCCTCTGGAAGTGGAGTTATGGACAATTAGCCACCATGTGCATGCTGGGATATGAACCGAGGTCTTCTGGAAGAACAACCAGTGCTTTTAACCACTGAGCCATCTCTCCAGCCCCTAAGACTCTTTTTTAAATGTCTTCATTTTTATTTTATGTGTATGAATATTGCTTGCATGTAAGTGCACTTGTGTGATGCCTACGAAGGTCAGAAGAGGGCATCAGATCCCCTGGAGCTGGAGTTTCAGAAGGTTGTTAGCCACCACGGGGGTGTTGAAAAATGAACTTGGGTCCTCTGCAAATGCAGTCAGTGCTCTTAACTGCTGAGCCATCTCTCCAGCCCCAAGACTGACTCTTTAAAACAGGTTTTCCCTGGACACATAAACAGCATAACTAAATGACTATAGTGATATTCAGGAAAAAGTCTTTTGAGATATTCAGGAAAAGGTCTTTTGGACAAAACTTTTTAGTTAGCTTTAGATACATTTTTAGGAAGCTTAGTCTCATGTTTCTCTCTCTCTCTCTCTCTCTCTCTCTCTCTCTCTCTCTCTCTCTCTCTCTTCTCTCTCCCTCCCACTCCGTGTGGGGGAGG